AAAAAAATCCATAAATGCTCTCGAAAATCTCAATTAAGTACACCCTCCTAAAGTTTCAAGTTGGACTTTGCTTGTTGACAAAGGAGCCAGGTTTGGTGAAAGAGGATGGCTATCCCTAATCTAGTGGTTCTCAGGAGTGAGCCGTAGGTGTTGTCCATGACAAGCTGATCCGAGCCCCTTAACAATGTTTTCGAATTGTTATAAGATAGATGAGCATGGACCTATAAAATAATTTTATATTTAAATTTAATTTTTTTTTTTTACTTTTAATTATATGTTCCAAAAATCACTATTACAAAATCAATTTCTTGAAAAATGGGACTCAATGAGTTTTAACTGGTTAAGCTCAACTGCACATCTAGCCGAAAATCTGAGCTTGGTTCGGCCTGTGTTCTCGGTTGAAATTAGCCAAGCTACCCGTGGGATGAGCTCTCACGGGCAGGCCCGCTGAACATACAACTGACCTAGGCCGATTGGCACGACCTGTGCTAAAGTGGAAATTACATCATACACCTATAATTTAATTAATTTTCAGTTGTAACTTTTAACATTTTTTTCACTACAAATACTATATTTTTACAGTAAAATCAAAATGTGTAAAGATACCTAATTCATATAGACAATAATATTGGTAACAAAATTTACTCCCCAAGCATGCCTTGTGAAGTTAATCACAATTATATTCCCTAAAATCGCGCCTCTTCACATTCCAATCAAAACTGTTAAAAGTTTGGGCTGCCTCGCTAAATCTTGTTTGTTGGGCCATTTTATGCTGGGCCAATTTTGCAACCGGGTTGCTGATTAATTAGATGAAAACGCGTTTTTATACAACACGACTTTAGCCTCTTTTCTGGAATGAGAATCAGCCGTACACGTGGCTTCATTCCAGCCCTTGATCTTGACCATTGGTGTGGACAGATATATATTTGACCTTGGCCCTGTTCATACGGTGAAGTAGTTTTTTTTTTTTTTTTTTTTTTCTTTGTTCTCCGTCTCTTCACTTTTCTGAGTGAAAAGTTAGGGTTTGTTCTGTAATCTGAAATTAATCTTTGTGATTGATAGTTGATGTTCTTAGTGGTAATCCCTGATTGCTTAGTGCGAGATATAGAAAGATCAATTGAGTGAGGATTTTTCAACAAAAAGAGGCGAGAGAAAAATCGAAGAAATCAAACATTTCTTCGTACATTTGTAAACTGATTCTTGGTTGATGTTAGTGGATTTTTGAGCTAAATCCCTTAGTGGAGGCTCAACGGGTGACTAGGTCTACGACCGAACATCCGGCCCCTTTCGAGGGCAAAAACATATACTGTGTTCTTGTTCTTTAGATTCTGTAATTTTTTAAATGTTCTTTACTCAAATTAAATCAAACCATAAGGTTTCGAAATTAACAGTGGTATCAGAGCGATTTTTTTTTAAACCGTGTGTTTTTGATTTCATTTTTTTTGTAAAATTCCTTTTTTCAAGAAACCCTAGTTCTTGGCATATATAAAATTTTTTTTAAAAGAACTTCAGATCTGTAAATTCTTCTTTAAAGATTAAGATCCGATATTTACAAAGGTATATACTATGAAATAAACCTTCGATTCAACTATAGGTTGGATCTACTATTGGCTCTTGATAGTTTCTTTTGGATCTGTTGTTTATTGAAGGAGGTCCGTTCACTGTTACCGTTTTTCTGAAATTTCTGAGTTGACTCAGAACTGAGTTTTGTCTGAGTGGTTTGACTCGTACTGTGTTTGGCGAGTTGAGTTGACTCGCTCCGATTTGACTGAGTTCACACCGAGTTTTAGTAACTCACTGGTTCCTTCCACTCATTCTCAAAGACGAACTACTCTCTTGGTATCTTGATGATGTCTCTCTACTGAAACTTTAAGGTTTCAATGTATGGTATATTTCTGAACCCTCTTATCGATTTACATTTGATTCCTGTTAATCTTGGAACTGGTCATTAAGGTAAGTGATCCTCCACGGCTTACCTTTGTCCAAGATCTCTCTGAAGGTCTGGGAATCTGAGGGAGCAGTGGGTTTGAAAGGGTCACCACTCCTTAGACCTCTTTCAAACTAATATTAGACTATTCTGAAAATTGTATCATTAAAGCAGAATATCTGTATTCTCGTGTTTAGTTCAGAAATTCATTTACCTGTAAATCACATTATCTACCTGAATCATCCACACACTATACTGCATATTATCTTTGCATGCTATTATGTTGTAGTTGCTACTATGTCCACTTCATATGAGTTAGATATAGAAACATGGAATGGCACTGGAGACTTTGCTCTCTAGCGCCAGAAAATGAGAGCCCTGTTACTACAGCAAAGATGTGCTGCAGCCCTTGATGGGACATGGGCTACTAAAATAAGTGCATATAGGAGGAAAGAACTAGATGATACTGCATGGAGTACCATTTTTCTTCATTTGTCTGATAGTGTGATTAGGAAAGTAGAAGCTACTACTTCTGCAGAAGCCACTACCTCTATAGAAGCCACTACTTCTGCAGAAACAAACTCTGCTGAGACCTTGTGGACTAAACTAGGAACACTCTACTTGACTAAATCCATGCCCAATAAGTGTTATCTTCTAAGGCAATTCTATAACTTTAGATTTGATCCCTCTTCTGGCCTAGAAGAAAACCTTGATAAATTCACTAAACTGATTCAGGATCTAGACAACTGTGATGAGAAAATCTCTAGTGACCAACAAGTAGTAGCCTTACTAAACTCTCTGAGTGAGAGGTATAGAGACATCAGAAATGCCCTAGAATATGGGGGGCAGACTCTTACAGTTGATGTCATAACTGCAGCCCTTAAAAATAAAGAACTTGAATTAAAAACTGAGTCAAAAGAGACTAAGTTTGGTGAAGGGCTGTATATGAAAGAAAAAATAAACCATAACAAGAAACAGATCCAATTCAATACAAATCCCAATAAGAAAGGAAAATTTCCTAACTATAAACTCAAAGACAAGAACAAAAGCCATGTCAAATCAAAGAATCTTATCAGAAAGTGTTACTATTGTGGAAAATCAGGACACTTAATAAAAGATTGTTTTAAGAAAATCTCAGACATGAAAGATAGAAACAACCCTGATGGTTCTGCAGCTGTTGCCTGCATGAATGAACCTGATATACAAGGGGTGGTTCTTGTGAATACCACTAAAAGAGACTCAAGGGAATGGGTCCTTGACTTTGGGTGCACTTCTCATATGTGCCCCTTAAAGGAATGGTTTTCTGAATTTGTTGACCTCAATGGAGGACAAATTCAGATGGGAAATGACATGAGTTGTCAGATAGAGGGTATTGGCAAAGTTAAGCTGTTACTAAATAACAACTATATTCTTGAATTAGAAAATACAAGATATGTTCCTGAACTTGAAAGAAATCTAATCTCTCTGGGAGAATTAGATGACAAATTTAACATTTCTATGCACAAGGGCCTCATGAGTCTCACATCTGAAAATAAAAGAGTGATATCCTCTCCAAAAATAAATGGAATTTACACTATCTTTGCTGAGCCTGTTCTAAGTCAGTGTACCACTGCCTCTAACTATGAGTTTAATAAATCTTTACTTTGGCATAAAAGATTAGGACACCTTTCAGAAAAAGGACTAATCATTTTGAATAAGCAAAAATGTTTTGGAAAAGACAATATTGAAAAGTTAGACTTTTGTGAAAATTGTTTAATTGGTAAACAGAAAAGGTTACCTTTCAAAACAGGAACCCATAAATCCACTTCTATACTAGACTACTTACATGCTGACCTGTGGGGTCCAGCATCAATAAGCACTCTAAGTGGATTCAGGTTCTACTTACTCATAATAGATGATTATTCAAGGAAGTTGTGGACATTTCTTCTAAAGCAAAAGTCTGAAACTTTTCAAATCTTCAAACAATGGAAATCCATGATTGAAAATCAAACCAACAAGAAAATCAAAGCACTAAGAACTGATAATGGTCTTGAATTCTGCAACTTTGAATTTAACTCATTTTGTAAAGAGAGTGGAATTCTAAGACATAGAACTGTAACATACACCCCTCAACAAAATGGTGTTGCTGAGAGAATGAATAGGACTCTGTTAGAAAAGGTCAGGTGTATGTTATACAGTTCTGGACTCCCAAAGTTTTTCTGGGGTGAAGCCCTAAAAACAGCCACCTATTTAATAAATAGAAGTCCATCTAGTGCTATTGATTTTCAAGTCCCTGAAATGTTATGGTCTGGAAAAACACTTGATTATAGTAAACTCAAAGTTTTTGGCTGTGCTGCATACTCCCATCAAAGCGAAGGCAAACTTGAGCCTAGATCCCATAAATGTGTTTTCTTGGGATATGGAGAAGAAACAAAAGGCTATAGACTCTGGGTTAAAAACCAAAATGGCTTTAGAGTTATAATAAGTAGAGATGTCATTTTTAATGAAAATGACATGCCCTGTATTAA